AAATACCAGGTCGGGCCGGCACCAACGGTCACCTCTTCTGGTGACCGTTGGGCAGCATTGACCGGGCCAAGCCGGGTCGGGCTGCCCGGCCCGATCATAACTGTCGAAACGTGCGTTTTGACTATTTTGCCCCTAAAAACGATAAAAACGGCTAGAATATAAGGTTTTTTTGTCATTTTCTTAGGAGGTTGCCTCTATAAATAGAGGGGGGTTTTTACTTCTTCTCCTTACACCAAAACTCATATACTTCTCTCTAATACTCTCTTATACAATCTTATACTCTCTTATACTCTCTTATAATCTCTTATATTTTTTAATACTTATATCAAATGGCTTCTAGATCTGAGTATGAAGAGCAAAATCTATCTCCTACCGATCCAGAAATGAGTCCTCCTACCGGTGTTAATCCTGAAGTTGGTGGCGACGAATCTGTACCAAGAGCTCCAAAAAGGCCGAGATCTTTTGTGTGAAATTTTTTTGAGAAGATAGACGTTAACAAAGATAAACACGGTAGGATCATCACTCAGAAGGCTAAACGTGCATTGTGCGGCCAGACTTTCCAAGCTCCTCATAAGAGCGGCACTAATAATCTCAAACACCATATAGAAAAACACAACAAAGGCCAGAATCCTCAAGGTGATATCCGACAATCTATGATTTTCTAATCCTCTTCTTCTGATAGTCTCGTTAGTTGTAATTATGACGCTGTCTGAGCTAGGAAATGCATAATCATGTTTATCGTTCTTAAAAACCTTCCTTTTAAATTAATAGAATATGATGAATTTGAAGATTTGTTTAGAGATGGTTTTTATCCCGTATTTATAAAATTTTCTCATCAAACCTGTCAACGTGATATTTTAAAATATTATCAGGAGGAACAAGGAAAATAATTTCTTATTTTAAAAATTTAAACTGTAAATTTTCTTTAACTTCTGATATTTGGACATCTAAAAAATTTAAACTGTAAATTTTCTTTAACTTCTGATATTTGGACATCTAGAGTGCAAACTGGTTATTTATGTATTTTGGACATCTAGAGTGCAAACTGGTTATTTATGTATCACAGCACACTGGATTGATGAAAATTAGCAAATATTTAAAAGAGTTATTTTTTATTACAATTAAAGAGTCACATACTGGTATTGATATTACAAATTTAATAATTGAAGAACTTATGAAACTAGAAATTGATCAAAGAATATTTTTTCTTTCACAAGATAATGCAAGTAATAACAATGTAGTTGTTGATTTTATCAAAACAACTCTGTCATTGCCATGTCATGGTGAACTTTTTCATGTTATATGTGTTGGTCTCTTTGTTTTGATGATGTTTAACAAATAATTTACCACTAATGTTGTTTGTCCAGTATTTGTGTTTATTTATTTATTGTAGACAAATAACATGTTGGAGGATGGATGAAATCAAGTATTCATGATCATATCCAAAGGAGGTTGGCGGACTAGTAGTTGAAGCCTTGTAATTCAAGTTGAAGATCCAAGTTCAAGCTTCATCCGTAAGTGTACCAAGATAGAGCTTATTGAAGGTCAAGATCAAGCTTAGGTAATTTAGTTTAGGTGTTTATATTATGTGTGTTAAGTACTTTAAGCTCAATCATTTATACATACACATTTTATTAGTTTCTTTGTATATATATGTAGTTATATATATACAACACAAGTTTTGGTTTTCATGTTTACAAATATAAAATTACATATTTCATATTTATTATTATGTTTTGATTTAGCTACATAGATATGAAACAACAAACAAAGTTTTTTATATTTTCATTTGTTTCATATTCTATTGTGTTTAAGAATATATTACATAGAATATGCAATTTTGTGAAAATATTACATTCTCGCTTTTTGGACTTAACTATAATCATATACATATTTTATTAAGTCTATAAAATCATTTTGTAAACCTTCAAAACATGGTTTAGCCAAAATGTCAAAATTCATGTATTTACATTTTTATGTTTTGGACTTATTTGCAAAATGATGATATTTTATAAACGGGAATAGCTTTTTGAAAACCAGTTTTTGTAGCATGTTCATTATCATGTCTACAATCATTTCTCAAAGTTTTATATTTTTTGAAATTTATTTACTATTTTAACAGAGAATTGAAACTCACTTTCAAAACCATTTCAGGCTGATAACCTATTATCAGTCGACTGGTGAAGTCAGTCGACTGGTGAAGTCAGTCGACTGGTGAAGTCAGTTGACCGATGAATCGACTAAAGAAAGTGCCTGATATCTTCATTTTAGTCTCTGTTCTGTTTCTGTCAACTGACCAGTTGACTAAAGTTTTTCAGTCGACTGAAAATATCTATCGGTTGACTGATAAGCTCATATTTGAATACGATATTCAGTTTATCAGTCGACTGGCACCGCTCGTTAGTTGACTGACAGCCTGTTAAACGGCTAGTTTTGTACAGAATTTGTTTCTTAGTTTTTGTGAGATTTTTGTTGGATTTCTCTGGGTTTTGGCTGATACCTTCTCTTCCTATAAATATCCTACTGTCTTCAACACTCAAACTAACAAAAGAAAAGTTTAAACAAGTTTTCTAATGGTGTTTAAGGGTGTTTAAGTGTGTTTAAGTTTAGTTTAAAGCTTGTTTGGCTTGTGAAGAAGTTTCCATAAATGGAGGAGATCATCTACATTGTTTAAGCATCATCTTAATTTATCTCTCCATCTTGTTTCTTCAGAGAAGAATTTCTAAACTCAATACTATCTTTATATTAATTATTTGTTGTTTATCATTTTTATCAAGTTAGGATTTACAGTGAGTTTATAATTGATTTTCTCATTGCTTACACACACACAACCATTGAGCTTATTGTATTTTCATACTTAGTATAATTTAGGTTGTGGGGAGTTATAACAATTGAGAGTGAGTCTACATTGTGTTCTCATCTATATTAGAGAATAATCATTTGTTGTATTATGCTTATTATGAGATTCACTTTGTATTACACTAGTACACCGAGAGGAATATGTGGTGAGAGACAAGGTCGCTTCCAATAGGAGTAGCGTCGGTTGACGAACCTAGGGAAAGGTTGTATCCGAGAACTTGAGGAAGAGCACAGACTAGAGACAAATACTTAGAGAGTGTGGAGTGTAGTTACATTATGAGATTGTGATCGTTGATCGGTGAGCATTGAAAATCGATATTATGTGGTATAAACGTTTTTCGGATAAGCATAGAAAACCCGCTGTGATAGTGGATTTCTCCCCGGGAGTGGGGAGCGGAGACGTAGGATGGAATGTTCGAATTCCGTGATCATATTGTGTGTTTGCATTGTTTATATTGCCCACTATCTAGTTTAGATTGTTTATCCTTGTGTCATTTATATATCATTGCATATATTTCACCATTTAGGATATATCTCTTTGTTCATATTGTATATTCTTGCTCATAATATATTATATATCTATCTTACAAGAATAATTTATTAATAAATTTTAATTGGTATAAAATCGGATTAGATTAACATAAGACCCTGATCACCCCCTCTAAGGGTCTAACAATATGTATCTGTCATATTTTAAATTTAATTATTCAAAGTACATTTTTTGAAATTAAACTCATGATAGAAAATGTTAGAATAGTTGCTAATATGCATAATGCTTCTGAAATAAGAATTAAAAGATGGATACAATGTTGTAAAAGAAAAAAAAAATATAAGCCCAGACTAATTCCAAAAGATGTTGACCATATGTAGAATTCCTCATATGCAATGTTAAGTATAGCAATAGAATATAAAAAAATTATAAACGATTTTATAAATTTTTATGCTTCTACGAAAATGATTTCCTTAAGTGTGGATCACATCATTCAATAATATAATGACAACTCATCTCATCTCATCTATTTTTTTATTTTTAAGAATGAACCAAATAAAAGAAAACAACCTATTACAGAAAATAAGTTTCTTATAATTCATTTCCTTATTTTTTTCTTGCCAAACAAACAACATCTAAACAAGTTTTCTCAAAAAATCACTCACATCATCCAATAATAATGTGACAACTAACATCATCTCATCTCCAATTCTTTGATTTCTTTCTTTTTTTTAGCCAACCAAACATCCCCAAAATAATTTTTCTTAGAAATAGTTCTCCATCTCTTTGATTTCCCTCTTTTTTTAGGCAAAGAAACAGCCCCTAAGCAATATCCTATCTCTTTATGCTATTTAGGGATTTGTCTATATATACTCCCTCGAATCTTCAATATTTGCAAAATGCCCCTCAAAACCAGCACGTTGGGCCTTTCTACTACTCTAACTTAAGAATATTGCATTTGGGCCTTTCTACTCCTCTAACTTAAGAATATTGCATTTTAAACGTCTAAATGTCAATATTCCCAATAATTTCCAATATATTTGCAATAATTTTCAGTTTAAAAACAAAAGTTATTAAGTGAAAGGGGCCGGAAAAAAGTGATTTGAGAGAATTGGGGGCAATTACAAATACCATGATTTGGATGGTATTTTTACAAATAAGAAAGCTTTGAGGGCTATATATGCAAAAACCCCTTCAATTTAATAATTGAGCTCTCAACTTTTCATTCATTTTCCCCAGAAAAATAAGGAGCATTTGGTTGAAACAGATGCTTCGTCGAACTCTTTAATCAACCTCAAATCAATCATTTATAAGGTTTACTTCTTTTGAATACGAATACACATTTAGTCTTGCTGATATGTCATTGACATAAGAAAATCACAATAACTCACAAAACAATGCAATGTACATCGAAGCAAAAACTTTATTACAATTGATAATCAAGATCATGGGCCTAGTCACTTTAAGCAAAAAAAATTCATGGAGCGGGCGACCAGGCGACGGGACAAGGAGCAGGCGGCGGCGAGAATTCCTAGACGGCGTGTAGTGTCCATCAAAGGTGGTAAGATCATCATTTCACCTCTCTACCCAACCCCTTCGTCTTCAGCCCCTTTCTCGTCCTCTTCCCCAAACGATACCCACCAAAATCCCTCTTTTTCATCCCGTCCTCCCCAAAATCCTCAGATCCAGAACCCTAAGCCATCTTTTGTTGACATCCTGAAGGGAGTCAAGACCCATCTCCCCTCTTCTGTTCCTCAGTCATCTTCAAAAGGACTTCTTCCTCTCCCCGATCAGGGTTGGACCACAGTTTCTTATAAGAGGAGGCCCAAGAGACCGAGATCCCCCCCCTCTTTTTCTAAGACCTTTCATCCCCTCAAGAACCCTAGGTGTTTTCTCTGTGGTAGATCGGATCACATGGCCAAAAATTGCTCTTTAGGTGACTTCAAATGCTTCGCCTGCAACCTTGTAGGGCATACTTCCGTTTGTTGCCCTAACATAAAACAGCCCCCTTTGCTCAGCCTCCCTCCGCAGTTACCTCCTCCTCCCCCCCCTCCTCTTTTTCTTCCTAAAGTCCCTCTCCCTCCCTCAGTTAGTTCCAGTTTGGAGGAGTTTTCGAGATACGCTCATTTTCAGATAAGGTCCGGTAAGCCCTCATACGCAGATCTGGTGGAGGGTTTGGAGCTTCACCTAAAGGTGGCGAACTGGAAGCATGTGATTAGGAAATCTTCGGATAACTCTTACTTCATCCAGTTCCCAGACGCGGAGACTCTGGACCATGCATGCTCTAAACCCTTCTTCAATTTGGGTAAATTTGGGGGCACCTTCTCCCCATGGTCAGAAGCTAGCGACCTTAAAGTGCTTCCTAAGTTCTTCTATGTTTGGGTGGAAGTAATCGGACTACCTATTCACTTATGGGATTCTGAGTTCATTTCGAGTATTCTTGTGGACATAGGAGATGTCATTGCCTTCTCAGACGACATTCTGCTGAAGAAAGAAGCACTTGCCTGTAAAGCCATGCTGCATGTAAGGGATCCCTCTGAAATCCCCCAAGAAATTATCTTCAGGTATGAGGCAGATAATGGAGTCCACATCTTGGAGGGTAAGGTTAAGTTGAGAGTGGCTGGGGAGCCTTTACCAGCTGAAAAGGGAAGAGATCGAGACCTGTTTGAAGCCTTTGTTCGGAAAGAAGGAGCCCCTCCCTCTTCGCCTCAGGAACAGTCTTACCGGGATCCTCGCCAGATTTTAACATCTCATCCTCTGCTGCCTAGCCAAGCTACATCTAAAGGGAAAAGCCCCATGGTAGAAGATGGAGGCTCTAACCCTT